CCTATTGAAAATTAGTTCCCCATTGGAAGGAAAACCCTTTCAATCCTAAAGCCGTCTCAGTGAGCTTTATGTTTAGTATTTGCACCAGGTTTTGGATTTTTCAGGGAGGAGTGGAAGCAGAACTTCCTTAATTTGTTAAAATAGGAGTCTTTTAAGGAAGAGTATCATGGAGCTTTGAAGCTAAACCTGAACCTTTTCTGTGCTTTACTGAGTGGGCTGCTCTGAATAAAATTCTTTACACAGTTAAATATCATCTCAGAATAAACACATTCCTATTGCTATTTCTTATGGATATAATTTTCTAATTAATTATCTAAGAACAGACAGTACTGAAAATTGGGAAAACAAAAGTTGGACTCCTATCTTACATATCATACACAAAATTAACTCCAAATGGATCAAAGACCTAAAGTAAGACTTAAAACTTTAAAATGCTTAGAAGAAAACACAGGGGAAGTGCTTCCTGACATTAAATTTAGCAACAGGCAATAAAAGAATAAATAGGTGAATTGGACATCATGAAAATTAAAAACTTTTGCCATCAAAGGACACTATCAACAATAAAAAGGCATGGGAGAAAATATTTGTAAATCATTATCTGGTAAGGGATTAATATCCAAAATACATAAGGAACTGCTATAGCTCAAGACAAGAGCAAAGAAATCATGCAATTAAAAAATGGGCAAAGGGCTTGAATAGACATTTCTCCAAAGAAACTAGACAAATGTTCTATATGCACATGGCATTATGGAAATGCAAATGAAAAACACAGTAAGATACCACTCCACCCCCATTAGGAGAGTAGTAAAAATAAAACAAAACAGAAAATAAATGTTTATGAGGATGTGGAGAAATTGGAACACATGTGAGCTGTTGGGGAGGAGGTAAAATGGTGCAGCCACCATGGAACACAGTATAGCATTTCCCCAAATAATTAAAACTAGAATTACTATATGATCCAGTAACTGCACTTCTGGATATACATACACAAAGAACTGAAAGCAGGAACTTGGACAAGTATTTGTATACCCATAGACACAGCAGCATTGTTCACAATAGCCATAAGGTAAAAGCAGCCTTAGTGTCCACTGATGGATGAATGGATAAACGCAATGTGTAGGCACGCCATGGAGTATTATTCAGCATTAAAAAGGAAGGAAATGCTGACACATGCTATGACATGGATAAGTCTTGAAGACTTTATGTTAAGTGAAATAAGGCAGTCACAAATAAACAAATACTATATGATTTGCATGATTTATTTGAAGTAGCTAATCATATTCATAAAGACAGAAGGTAGAATAGTGGCTGCCAAGGAGTAGCAGGAAACAGGGAGCTGGTGTTTAATGAGTGTGGCTTTTCAGTTTGCGAAGCATGATGAAGGAGGCAGTGGAGAGAGGAAAGAAACACTGAAGTAAGGGGGAGGTGGGAGAGGTGGTGGCAAAAGAGAAATTATAGAGGTATCTGTGTTTGGAAGAAAAATATGATTTTATCTTGGAACTTTATTTTTAATCTCTACTGTCTTCATATCTTAAGGCCAAATGAATTTTTTTGCTCAGCAGGGATATCAGAGGTTGAATATTATTTACCAAGTGCAAAAGAACTGGGGTTGTGAGGATAAGCTTCCTGGAACAGAGTTTAAAATAAACTGGAGTTAGCTGAATGGAGTAGCAGGTATGTCCTTCCAGGCAGAAGACAGAGTGATTAAGCATGAAGCAGGGAGGAGTAACTGTCCATCCATGAGCAAGAACTTCAAAGATTCAGTCTTACTAATTTAGAAGCATAAGCCACTTACTGCCTGAGTGATTTTTAGGAGATTAATTCTCTGAGCCTTAGTTTCCTTTTCCATTAAATGGGAACAGCAATACTACCATCTCAGAGTTGCTATGTGGAGTAAATGAAATAATCTATGTAAGGTGCTTAGTGTAGTGCTTGTACAGATTAAGCATTTGATAAAAGGTGGTTACTGTTAGCACACTTGGGTAGCTGCTTCAAATGTAGAACCAGTGCTATCACTATTCATACAGGATTTCAAAAATCCTGCCCATGGGATTCTGCACTCAGCATGGGTGTAGCGTGCTTGAAGCATTGGTTCATATTGACTAACACCATTCATAGCCCCAAAAAACTCCCCCATCTCATGTTCTGCATCTTTGAAACAGGACACGTTATGCTGGAGACGGACCCACATCTAAGTGTGCAGGATTTGAGTAGTGAAAGCAATGACACAAGGAAATTAAACAATTAAGAAAATCAATGAAACCAAAAGCTGGCTTGTTGAAAAGATCAGTGGAATTGATAAACCCCTAGCATGACTAATCAAGGGAAAAAGAATGTACAAATTATGAATATCAAGAACAAAAAAGGGAATGTCACCATAGAGCTTATAGACATTCAAAGGATAAAAAGAGAACTCTAATAACATTTTATGCCCATTAATCTAAGATGAAATGGACAAATTATTTGAATAACATGAAATATCGAGATTCAAGAAGAAATAGATAACCTGAACAGTTCCATATCAATTACAGAAATTGAATTAATAGTCAAAACTTTCCCACAAAAAAAAACTCCAGACTCACTAGTAAATTCTTCCAAATATTTATGAATGTATAACTAAGGACAAAATTTTCCAGAAAACTGAACAGGAGGAAACTCTCCTTTCTGAGACCAGCTTTCCCCGACATATAAACCAAGGTAAAGTTAACTTTAAAAGAAAAAAAAATGGTGTGAGTACTGATGTGATCACTAGGTTTGGTTAGGTTTGGTATGATTTATCAGAAAAACCTAAAGTAACAGAAGCTTAAGCAATATCACCGATCACTTCAAAGACGTCTACAAGCTGGCAATCCAGAGCTGGTATGGTGGCTTTCTGGTACCATCAGTGACCCAGGTGCCTTTTTATGCTCATTCAACTTCAGCATGTGGCTTTCATGTGGCTTCTGTGTCTAAAATGTCCACTCAGGGTTTAGCTAATACATCCACAATCTGGTCAGCAGGCAGGAAGAAGGGGAATAAAAGTATTTCTCTCCCTTTCACGGATACTTCCCAGAACTTCTTCACCACCAGAATGTAGTTGCATCTTGCAAGAGAGACTGAAAAACATAGAGCCGTTTATTCCAGGTACCAGTGGGCCCACTTAAAAACAGAGGTTCCATAAAAAAGAGGCATGGGTAACTAGAAATCTCAGCTACAGAGAAGCTTCTTACTGCTTTGACTGTGTAAATTCAGATGGGTTTCTTGAGAAAGCCGGCCTCGCTACTTTACAGCCCCATGACACAGGAACGTGGGTGTGGCTGTGTGTGTGTTTGCATGTGTACCTCCACCTCCTATGAAAAGGTAAGATGGCTTGGCAAGAAGAAGCAGGAGAAGCCAAAGATTTTGCTTATAAACGGGACACTCCTATCGAAAGAATAAAGCCAAGAGCAAATGAAAACGTGGAAATTTTTCATTATTAGTTGTCTCAACACCCCTCACCTTGCAACTTCACTTTCAAACTGTACTGAATTTCTTTACCTTCATTTTTATTGTCTGTTATTTTCTCCTGGAACAGTTTTTCCCTTGATCTTTTAAATCTCCTCCTGTAATATTTTGCACTTATGTTCACCATACTTTATCTGTCTTATTAAATGTTCTCTAAGGACAGGAGGATAGCTTGTTCAATGCTATTATCCTTATTGTCCTGAATTATAGCAGGTGCACACACACACCAGCATGAATTTAATAACATTTCTGCTATTCATAGCTGTTTGTGAACTGAGCACTTCTTCTAATAAGTATGTTATTGTCGCCACCACAGCACACAAGCAAAAGAAACATGTAAATCTGTTTTTCTAAGCCAGAACCCAGTCTTAGCCTGTGTGGCAGGGCTTTTTGATGTACACTAGGCAGGCACTGTGTTGAACTGAAAGCAAGTCTTAGAGTTGGGGTTTCAAAGATGTGTGCTTACGTCTTGACACTTGTCAGCTATTCAGGCTCGATTACGTCAGTCTCTATATTCGTCTCAGCTCTATATTCGTTGAAATCCACTCTTTTTCTTCCGAAGACAAGCGACTGGACTGTATTTCTCAGCTTGTCTTGTAGGTTTTTCATGTGACAGTTCTAGCCAATAAATAGAAGCAGAAGAGACTTCCAAGCTCAGCCTATGAAAACTTGCAGGTGGCAGTGTCTGCCACCCCTATCTTTCATCTTTCTTTTTCTTCCTTTTGTCTCACCCAGATGCGAGCAACCATGGTGACCTTGGGAGCCACATGCTGAAGATGACAGTCGCTCAAGATTTGGTTCCTGAATGTCAGCATGAAGCAGAGATCCTTTTGATGGTGAACGACTACCCCGGTATCCAAGGAATACATGTCTTATTCTCTGATTGACTAATTATTTAGGATTTCTTTGTTAGAGCTATTGGACTTACCCTAATGAACACAGGGATTAGTAATATCTACCTCATAGGTGAGATGAGGTATATAAATTCTTAGCACAAAGCCTGGCACCTTGAGGTGATCAAAAATACCAGTTGTTATATTTATAATAGGGTTTGGATGAGAAATAAATAACAAATGAGTATGATTTATAAACTAAATAGTGCTATACGGTATTAGGTATTTCAGATCTCTGTCTCCCGGGTACTTCTAAGAATTCGTGAAATCTTATACTTCTATGAAGCCTTTTTTTTTTTTTAAGTGAACTTAAGCTTTCCTTGACCACTTGCACATTTCAGTTGTAACGTTTCACTGAACACACACACACACACGCACATGACCCTCCTAGCCTAGATTTTCTTGTGTCTTTGCATGCTTTTAAATAACAATCTGCAATTCAGGGCATTCATTTGATAGTGTCAGTTTACAAGAATCAAATGTGTGCCTTAGTGGAACGCATCAATCATACCAAGTTAGGCCAGTGGCCAATATAGGAATATTCTTATGAAAATGCTAATAATGACAGAATCCAGAACCATATATGGTGAAAAATGATTTACTAAGTAAAATGAAAACAATCACGTGGCTCATATCTGTCTTAAAGAGCTCTTAATTCCAAGGTCTTAGTCACAAATGTACAAGCATCAGGAGTAACATAATTGTAATCACTGTTTCTTCCACTTTCAGGGAAGAAAAACAGTTCTTTTAAACTCATGGCTTCCTGGGCCAGTGTTTCTTACCAGCCCCTGTTCTTACTTCAGAGTGTTAGTGATGTCCAGAATATTCATGTATAAGAGGAGTAATGAGCACCCTGAAGTTTATATACAGCTTGAACAAATAAGTCATCTGCATTTGAATGCCGGCGCTGAAGATTGCACATCCATTATTGCTGGAGTGCATCTGCTTTATTTTTAACACTTAAAAGAATTAGGCTTTACTCATTAAATTTTAGCTTAAATCTGTGGCTTTTCAATATTACGCAAGTCAAGATAGGTTAAAAACAAAACTGGCCATGATAGAAGGCATCCTTGATCAGTTTCTCAACCTCTTTCCTTGTGTATTTATTCTGACTTTGTTCCCTTTTTTAGGTAGGGGTGCCATTGTGTTACTTTTTATGTGAAACATTTTACAAGCCACATTAGAGTCCTATGGGTACATTGTATTGAGTTACTGTTCAATACCTGTTAATTAAATTAGTACAGGTTATAAAGAAAGCATTAACATAATGCTTTCATGGGAGTCATGATTAGGGAAATGTCTTTGTATGTTAAAACTTGCCAAGTTGCATTCTGTTTTAAGACACGTGAACACAGATCATTTATTTATTTATTTATGTGACAAATGTTTTCAGGCTCCAACTAAGGGCCAGACTCTATGCTTCATGCTGGAGATACTAAAATGATTAAGACACAATTGGCTGCCCTCAGGGAACTGTCTAGTGGCAAAGAGAAACATAAGACAAAAAGTTCAGTATCATTAATTATATGAAATGAATATATTTTATCACATTTGAGAATTTAAACTTTATGTGTCCTTTGGCTCTAAGTATAAGCATTGTTACAATGATTTTCAAGGTTATTTTTGCTATTATGTAGTCTCAAAAAAATCTGATGGAAGATAAAATTCTGCTTCTCAAATGGCTGTAATTGGAAGTGAATGCACAGCTAATTAAGTATACTGTAAGAAATCACATGATGTCATAGAAAAATACTAAGTTTTAGCAAACCTGTTTTAAAAAAAATCATTTTAGACTCCTTCCTTCTTTTCCCTTTCTTTTTCCTCCCTCCTTCCCTTCCTTCCACAGGTGTGTATTAATTGATTTATAAGTGCTTTTAATTCATTAATTTTCTAAGAGGCCTGGTCTTTTTGTCTGTGCTTGTTCAGTGGCACACAGTAGGAGCTTGATTCATACTTCACTGAATGAATATTGAAAGAACTCAGGGCAGTTTTCCAGATTCTGAGTGTGTCTTGGTGAATAAGCATGGCTTCTACCCACATAGAATTTATAGTCTAATTTAGAACTAGATTTAATGTTATCTCTGAAATTTAAACACATTTCAACATAAAAAACGACCATTTTTTACCATACCAGGACTTCTTTGTTAAGCCTGACTCAGACCAGTGTATGATGGCCATAGGTTCAAACTCTGCCAGAAGAACAAGTACCGTGTCCCATAATAACTTAATATCCTATGGCAAAATAGAAAAGACATTTGAAGCCGATTGTAGTAAATTTCTGCATGTATATTTCAGTTCACAAAACTGTGTAAGTTCTATTGTAACAAATGCCTGGATAACTTGTTCAACGGAGTTCCACTGTAGTAAGAAGTTCTTGAAATAAGAGGCTCCTTCCAATAGAAAAATGTGTCTTATTAGGAATATCTGAATGGAATGCTTTAAGTGGACATTCTTGCTATGGCCACTACCCTCTTATCAAAAGTTTAGGATGGTAAAGAAGTGCTTATTTTGTCCCAAACGTGATACTAAGACTTCGCAACTCCACAGAAAAAGCCCAATTCAGTGAGCAAAGTAGTGCTCTTTGGCAAAGATGAAGACAAACAGGAGTCATGAAGACAAAACTTGGCGCTAGGGGTTGGCAGTGGTCGATCTGGGCCCGGGAGGCGATGCCAGGGGTAGGTTCAGGGAGTAAGGGGGACCGCAATCTTCCGGTCAGCGGAACCCCTTCTTTCTGCCATCAGCAAATGCGGGGACAGCTGACGGCGCGTCCCTTGTAGATGCTTGTCCTCTGGGGCCGGGAGGCCTGGGCAGATTGAGGCGTGCCCTGCAGGGGCCGAGCCGCCCAGTCTCGGGAACAGGCGGCGCGTCCCCGCCCGCAGCTCAGGTTCCCGCGAGGCGGTCGGCTTCAGAGAGTCGAGCTCGGCAGCTCGGCAGCGGCTGCGGGCGCAAGGCCTCGCTCTCGCGCCTTTGAAAACTTTCCAGCGCGCGTGCCCCGGCGCCGCGCGGCGGCCCTGCCGGACCCCCGCGGGGAACTTCTCGGTGGCCCGGGGCCTGTCACTCCCGCTCGCCGACGCGCCTCCCCTGGGTTCGCGCTCCCGGACCGCCCTCCCTCTCGGCGAGGACCGTCCCCGCCGCCGCTCGCTTTCAACATGGCCCGGCCGCGTCCCGCGCGCTGAGCGGGCGAGCGCGGCGCGCAGCCCCTGCGGCCCCCGGAGCGGGGGCGGGGAGCGGAGGAGGGGACCGCCGGAGCGCCCGCTGCCTGCTCCGGGCCGACTTCTCGCCAATGGTCCAAAGCGACATGTCCAAGTCGCCTCCCACAGCGGCGGCGGCGGTGGCGCAGGAGATCCCGATGGAGCTGCTGGAGAACACGGCTCCCGCGGGGGCGCTCGGAGCGGCCGCACAGGTAGCGAGCGCGCGGCGCCTCCTTTCTTTGTGAGCCGCCGGGCGCAGACCTCCCCTCTCCCCGTGCCTCCCCTGCCGCCGCTCCGGCCTGGGTCTCCTCCGCCGCCGCTTCCCTTCCTCCTCGCTCTGTGCCACCCGCCTCTCCTCTCCTGGCGCGGGGACCCTGCCCCATTTCGCCGTTCCCTGGCTTTTGCGCGGCTTCCATTTTTCTCTGCTACTGAAAAGCAAGTGGCAGGGCCGGGGGAACCTCCCGGGCTTCCGAGGCTGCCCGGGCCGGGCGGGCAAGCCCCCCGCGCCCCCTCCCGGGAGAGGCACATGGAGAGCCATGAACCAGACGAGCGGACTGGACCTGCTCAGGATCGTGAGTTCGACAGGGCGGGAGGGCTCCGCTGCCGGCGGCTGCGGCTCCGACGCGCACCCCTCCGGGCGGGAGCGAGGGCGCGCGGCCGGGGCGCCCTGCCGCTGGGTCCCGGAGCAGCTGACCCCCTGGGCCCCGGGCGGAGCGCCGCCTGACAGCTGCTCTCCACTCGCGGCACGTGCCGAGGCTGGCCTGACCCCTCGTTCCTTTCTCTAAAGAAGCCAGCGAGTTGGGGACGCGAAAGTTTTGATTTTTTCCATTTCCCCTAAAATGTTAGTCATTTCAGGGAGCTCTAGGACCACCTTCCTCTCTGGTTTTTAGAAAATTTGCGGTTTGCTACTCGTTGTGACATAGGAAGTGTCAGTTGTAGGCAACGGCAACGATAAGGTAGCTTTTACGTAAGGCTTTGGCAGGTAAATGTACATTACAGGCACCTCCGGGTCTCAGCAGTAAGCAATGTCTCAACTTTTATCTTAGCAGGGAAATGACTTTAAGAATCCTAGCTACGGGCAGCTTGGCGAGGGAAGTAAGGACGTCAGGGTTACACCTCAAGCACCGTTTTGCTTAGCGGTATTAGCTTGTTGATTTCAAACCTACATTAACTGGGCTGTAAATTGTGGCAAGAATTACATATTTTTTCATATTTATATAACACTTGTAAATATGCAGTTTACATATTTTATGTTTGTATATGCTAGAGAGAGCATGTCAGAGTATTATTTCCTAAAGTAAGGAAGGTTACACAAGTGTTGCTACTGTTTTGATGTGTCGTGGAAATGGACTGCTGTAGATATTTGTGTTCCTAATGGTGGTACCAGTGGCATAATGGTGGAGCTTCGGTGCACTTGCTTTTACCACCAGGGAATAAGCATGCTAACTTAAAACATAATTTGGCTTGAGGTAAAGAAAGGCTGTAGAAACCAAGAACCTATATTTTAGTTGGCCTGGGGCTGTTTCGGATATACAACCAGAGAGGGGACATGTATCTAACTACCAGCATCTAGCCTCTGCCAGAGGACCTGAATTCCTACCAACACATGTCACATTTGTTCTAGACTCCTGATTTTATCAAGACACCAGGTTAGATGAGAATGAGAAATGTACTCTGACACTTAACAATATTCCAGGATGAAGGTCTTGAGCATTGACAGAGCAAAGGGACTTTTAGACCCTCTTTTTTTCTTTGACCTCCCTTCTGGGATTTTTTTTTTTTAGTTTGTATTGTCATGATAAAAACAGAATTCTTGAATTTCTGGAGATGAAAGTTAGGGCTGACAGAAAGCATGACTGTTCAGATAAGACATGCCAATGTACTTAGAGATTTGTATAGTTAAATGTAAGTCAACAAATATTTATTGTGCAGCTGCAATGTGGAAATAAATCCGATGTGAGAGAACACCATTTCTGCCTTCAAAAAACTTATATCCAATAGCTGCTAGTATGACAACAATGGTATGGCATGGAACTGAAGAAATATTGAATCTTAAACGGTTTCCAAAGGGTAAAGATCACAAATATTCTGTGTGGAGTAATCTGTAAGGACTTCATAGAAGTGCTGGTGTTTGAAGGGCTCTTTGAAGGGTGCAGATTTCAACAGAGATTTTCACGGAGATGTTCAGGAGCTACACAGAAAGTAAAGTCTTGGAGGTCAGAAGTCTAATGGTGTACACTGATAATCTCTAGTTTGAAAAGAATGTGGAAAGGTGCAGATTGGGTCACAGGTAAGTATAAGACTGATGAGGCAGTTTGAGGCCACATCCTGGAGGCTTGGAATCCTGCTGTGTACTGTACAATAGAGAAGTGTGGAAGGGGTTCCGTATAGCAGCACATTAGGAAGAGTCACTTCAGAATGTTCTGGAAGGTAACTTAGGGTCTCAGAAGTCCAGAGATGGAGCTGCCAGAAGGGAGATGGATGAAACAGTTTGGACAAGAGGTAGTAAGGCCTAAACTAAAGAGAGAAAAAAGGTATAATGGATATGACAGGTTTCAGACTCAAATCCTCAGGAATGGGCAAGTGATTGCATAGACACATGGGAGAGAAGAGAAAGGGAGAAATGAGTGCTACATGCACGTAAGAGAGAAATATTCAACTGCATCAACATCCATCTCCTTACTTTCTCTACCTTCCAAAATGAAAGCATTTTCCCATGGATTGTGTTCATACTGCATCTATTATTTGAGGGAAACATTGCCTTGTTTATTTTATATCTAATAAATCATGACATCATAGGACTGTGAAGTTTAGCAAAGTTTCTCTGGGCAGGCCAGGCCAGCAGTAAAACTGCCTGAGAAAGGGGGCTGTCTCAGAAGCATCCCTCTTTTTTGGTGACACTAATAGTAATTCTACTCAGAAAGGGAATTTTCATTTGTGCACAGTAGCTCTAATCAGTGACTGATTTTAAGAATCCTTTCTGTTTTACCTCTGGATTATATTACAAGTTCTGTACAAACAAAGAAAAAAATGTAGATTCACAGACTTCCTATTTTCCTTTTGTATGTCAGTCCTGCCTGGGGATGAGGCACCCTTATACATTCCAACCCCTTCGCTTCAGCACACTCTTATAAACAAAATGGACATATTTCTTCCATGAGAAGCCTGGGGGGTCTCTAACTGCAAATTCTTTGAAGTTCTGATTTAAGCAAATTGCATCACTTTTTGGGTAACGTGTTGAACAGCTTCAGTGCCAACTTGGACAGTCTACCTCCAAAGTCAATACACTCATTTAGTAGTCTCCCTCCAAAGCTCCAGATCTGTACTGTTCACTGTAGTAGCCACAGCCTCACGTGGCTTCTGAGCATTTGAAATGTGACTAGTCTGAGCTGAGATGTGCTGTAAATGTAAAATGCACACCAGATTTCAGAGACTTAATATGAAATAAAGAATAGACAACATTTCAGTAACAAATTTTATGATTACCTGTTGCAATGATAATATTCTGGATATATTGGGTCAAATACATTATTACAGTTAATCTCACCTATTGTCATTTACCTTTTTCATGTGGCTGCTAGAAAATTTCAGTTACATATGTGGCTTGTATTATTTTTCTGTTAGACAGCATGAGTCTAAAGCATGGTACTAGTAATTCTCTGAGGATTTGAATGGGTAGTACACGGCGGCCAGGTGGGTGGGAAGCAGGTGAAAGGGACTGTGATGGGATGGTGGCAGAGGAGGAAATGGATGAGGAAACAGAGCAGTATCTCAGCACAGTAGGGCTCCAAGAGATTGTAACTGGCACCTCCACCCACACCTGAAAATGAACATACAGGAACCAGAGGGCCTGTTTGTTTTGCTCCTAGCAACAGAACCCAGCTGGTTCCACCTCAGCTGAGCTTGCCAGATGCTTTTCAAGCATGTTGTAGTAATACAGCCTGGATGGCAATATCCTGAATGGCTGTAGCAAGGAGCTTTATCTGAAGAGAGCAGCAGCCATTCTCCTGTGGCTCTTGAACCATGTCAGTACCATTTTCCAGAAATATTTTTAGATCTGGTATATAATTTAGTTTTTTGTAGTCTCCAGACATAATGGCCATGGGTCCTGTGTTGCATGTTTTGCTAAAACCTTCACTGCTAACTGCTCTGGTGTTGCATGAGAGAAATTTAAAAACATGCCAATCACAATTTCCCAGTGTGTTTTAAAATGCCAAATAGAGTATCTGACTATTTGAGTGATTTGAAGTTTACTTGGCCTTGTCGTTTTTGTCTAGTTTTTTTTTTTTTGTCTTTCCTTTTATGTAAAGACTTAGTTTACCTGTTACTCTACCTATTTAAGCCCATTGGATTAATTAATTCCATACGGTTTGTAGCCTTGGTCCTTTCCAGAAAAGCTGAGCAAATTGTGTTAACTCTGTAGAGGGTGGTGGTACTCTTCAGTTTCATGACCAGGGTATATGTCTACATCATACAAACAGTTCATGGCATGAACTTACTTTTACAATTACAGGCAGTCAAGATTAATTATGACACCATTTCACATAACTAGGTCTGTCTTGGAGTTCACTGGCAACTTCTGTAATTAACTATTACTGTTTACTTCAATCATACAGAAATTGGGTTTCACTTACCTGTTCAATGTGAATATTTATTTGCAAATGAAACTACAGTCCAATTTTAAAAGTTGTGTAGTATCAAAGATGACATTCACATGAAGCTGATATCAGCATTTGATGAATGTTGTGTATCTTTTATTTATGTATTTATAGAAATTTCTTAAATCCTATTTCTAATTTCTGAAATTTTAGCATGGTTTATGTTTTAGGAGAAGTAATTTAAATACACAGTTTTCTTTTTTTCCTTTTTGCCATGGTGACATAATGTGTTATTTTTAAGCTGCATAAAACTAGGAGGCAATGAGTGGAAATTAGTGACTTTTCAGACTGTTCTTAAGATTTTCAGGCTGTGTTCAAGAAGGACTTAGGGGTCTGCGTGTGTCAGGGAGAGTATTATGGGTTACACTTTGCACTCTGGCCACACCTGCTTTCTTCTCTCACTTTTACTTTCTGCAACCTGGGGCGCTCTGATTGTATTGGGTGTTCACATACTTAATGTTGCTAAAAAATATTTAGAAAAACCATTGGTCATAAAAGTGGCTGCCTATGAAGTAGCACCTTAGCTAAGAAAACTATACTTCTTTTCCAAACTTAGTTACCTAAATATTTGAAAACTTAATCTTCCTTGTCTTTTTCCATTTGGGGGAGGTTTGACCTTTCTTTCTTTTTTTTTTTCTCCCAATTCCTTCAGATAAAACATGTTAGTCATCATTTTCAAGGATCTAGAGTAACTCTAAAAAACAAGTAACTCCACCAAGATGGACTTAATTTTAAATAAGCATTGCATTAAAGGAAACCCCACTTTGTAATGGTAATATGTTTTTATTAATATCTTTAATAGTACATTAAAATGAACTATTAGCTTCCAAAAGATGCTCTAATTTTTTTCTTGGTCTTGGATACTGTTATAAGAAATAACTAGTCATTGCATTTAACTCTACAGCTAAAAATTTTAAAAGGAGACTATAGAAGAGAAATTACTGCTAAAATTAATAGCAGAATTGAAGGTGAAATTAAACATTTATTTATCTGACTTTTAATAAATATGCTGTATAAAGAATAGGGATTTGCTATTGCACTATTAAGGCATGAACAAGTTAATACTTTGAATAAATTATCCCTTATAAATTTAAGTCATTGAATGACAAAGTATTTTCTCAGAACTATCCCCAGTTGGTGTGGGATTCAGTATGCCATAGTTTTTTCAGTGTACTGACTGTATGTTAGTACAGTTGAAAACTAATAATCCAACATGTATAACTTGCAAAGGTAGCCTAGTACATCTGCATAATGTTTAGGTGTTGTAGTCCTGGGGGCCTGGAAAAATTAATACACAACTAAAATTAGACACTTTTCAATTGTGTCTGATTTCTTGCAGAGAACTGCAGCCTCCACTGGGACATAAGGTCTTAAACCTCATGTGGTTTGCTCAGTGCCTGGTGTGCATGTGTGTGTAGTCGGGAAAAAGTCTCCACACCACAGCAGCTCAATAGTAAAACATATTTATCATTCAAAACCCACAGCAAATGCTGGTGATACAATTCCAAAGATGCTCTTTCAACTCATTTTAAAAGGGTACTGGAAAGATACATGAGCATGGGGTGAGATTATATTTTGTCTTTGATCTCAAAGATAACTTACGCATCTCCTGAAGATAGTGTATTTAACATAGATTTGCTCCCCTCCTCGAAACAAGTTGGGTCTTAAAAATGCTTTCAAGGTGATAAGTCTTTTTCCCCATGGAATAGTGTGAATTTTTTTTTCTTTTAATTTTAAGGAAAATTTCAAATTTCAGCATTCTTCAGCCTTGGAAGGCCTTCTGTCCAACCCTTTACATAATAATTGGAAAAGGAAGAATGTTGTTGAAAGAATGTTATTTTTTGACAATTACTGAACAATGTTTACACAAATAAGAAGAGTAAGCTGTTCAGAGGAGAACCTCATATGATACATTATGAAAGCCCAGCCGACATTGTCTTTCCTCTCCACGAAGCTGAGTGTTAATTAAATGCCATGGAAACACATTTGTATTATATAAATCCCTTAGATACTTGGAAGAGAACAAACATATTTAAGAAAATGTTTTGCTTTAAGATTATACCACACCCCCACTGATTATAAATGCGTCTAAATTACTGATGACACAATGAGTTTCACCTTGCCTAAGTGCTGTGTATATCTTATGATTTATCAGATACTTCCATTTTAATGAAGACCATGCAAATATATAACATATAACAATGTATCATTTTTAAAACCTGAGCATGGCAATTTAAAATAAGTAGATTTCTAAATTCTGATAATCTGATGAAGTCTCTGTGAGCCTGATAATTCTAAACACATTATACAATTTAGCCCACTTTTTTCCCCACCCTCCCAACTCTAATATGGGTGTTACTATTTAAAATATTATTTTGAGCCCTTGCCATATGTTCAGTCTTATACTAAATGCTGTAAATACAATATTTTGTTTAATATTTAAAACAACCCTATTAGATAAGTATTAATGTCCCCATTTTAAGGATTTGAAGACTGATACTTAGACAATTTAGGAAATTTGCTCAAGGCCTGCAATACCAGGATTCCAACCTGTGTACACTAAAGTGTAGAGCTCTGTGTCAAGCTGCTTTTCAATTCCATCTTAATGTTCAATAGTTGCAGTAACTCTATCTGGGTCTGAAATTAAACACAGATTGATGCATAGCTTACTCTGCTCTGAATGTGAACTGTAAATACAATAGAAAAAGTGAGTTCACTTGTACATATGTGTTTGGCCCAAACCTATTATTAAGACAAACATTCTGATTTCAAATGCCTGTTGTATTATTATAATACATTTTTCTTGCCTTCTCGGCATAATCACTAAGTTGTTAAAAAATAAAATTTTCATATCACATGCAAACCTAACAATAGGCCAGAAAATTTTACTCTGTATCTTAATTTCATATAACTCACTCCCACTTACTTAGCTATTTCACCACCTCTGAAAGCAATTGCTGGATCCACACAATAATATGAAGAATTGGCACCATGCTTTATCCGTTTTCCATCTAGACCTGCATATATATAGGTACGGAGGTAATCAGAATTCCTCTTGCAAAATGTTCTCCTGCCACCATATGCAATTCTTGCAAGTACCTCTCTAACATATGAGGACCAGTTGGATTACAGATTAAAACATGAAAATAAGCAAAAATGTATACTCAGCACCACTGGAAACAGCACATCGTTATGCACGAGTCCATTGCATTCATCTATCTGAGAGGTTTGACAAGTGACCTCCCAATCTCTCCTGGACTTAAATGGTTGCTTTTAAATGCTTTCATTTTAGTGGCTTCTGGTTCTTGATGACAGATATGCTAACCTAGCATAAATTATTTTAATTCACCTGTTTCTAAACACTTTGTCTGAAAACCTCTATTCCCTGCAAACACACTGTTTTAAAATAGGCATTTGTCATTCCACTACTAAGCATTTTCTAGTGATGCTCATGCGGTGGCAATTTATTGCTGGTTTGGGGTTTGAACATTGTCTAGACCTAGGCCTAGATTCCTGTGAAAGGGTTTAATAATAATCTCATGTGTCTTTCCCCCCTTTTTTTGTAGTCATATGGAAAAGGAGCTAGAAGGAAACACAGACTGAAAGGGTCGGATGGGAGTACCTCTTCAGACACTACCTCCAATAGTTTCATCCGTCAGGTACGAGTGCTCTTAAATTCAAGGTCTCAAGCATACTAAAATGAATTAGTTTCCTTCTTTAAAGTCTTATCATCCTGAAAACTTGTCTATTATTATTATATTTGCTGTTAGTTGAAAAGTGCGCAGTTTAATGTCATAATTAAAATATTTAAATTTTAAGTGAGGCTGTGTATTAATTACACTCTTTCTTGGCAAATTGGGGGAAAGACAAATGTAAAATTCACCACAGAGGATTTCTGCACAACAGAATGAGTGAACACCGGCAGAAATTATTGCAGGTGGCGGGTTTGGGGGAAGAGTGAGCAATGAGAATCTGTGTTTGCAGCCATGAAGCTGAGATACTGGGGCTCCTCCGGCCTGAGGTGCCTTCTTTCCTTTTGGGGTTTGGACTGTAACAGAGAAAATCGTTCTTAGTCTGGAATGGTTGATGCTGCTAAGGTTAGTAAAGTGTGTCTTATCTTTGAGGCATCATTTAAAGTGCCTTTCGAGATGTGGCCTTCACTTCAGCTAACGTGTAATTCTGACCAGCAGTTTGGGACTGCCCGCCTCCCCTCCCATGTTAGGACTCCTACTGTATAAACACTCATATATGGTGCCAGAAGGACTTTCATTACCAGACGGCAGCCAGATCTGTCAGAATAGGTTGCTCCTCAAAACTGAAGTGTCCTCAGCTTAGGAGGGCTCGCCTTTCTCTAGCCCTTCTTGGTGGGTAGGAGACTGCTGGAGAGGAGCTGTGCTCATCAGTCACCCCTGGGCAGGGACAGCTCACTCCCCCACACAGTGATGGTCAGTCTGAAAAGCTGCCCATTTCCTTTGCATGCCACTTCCCCTATTGCTTCTTTTTTTTTTGCAAATTTTTAAAATTATTAAAATGGACTTAAAAGTAACAAATTGTCTATCACTCACTTCTTAGGTTGAGAAGTGTTCTTTCAAGGTGTTTTGTTTTACATTTTTTTAAAGGGAACCAAGCTTGGTAGGTTTTTTTGTTGACTGTAGCTATTTTTCAAGCTACTGCTGCTTCTTTTTTCTCTGGCTTGTAAGTGTCCATGTTTGAAGTATCAGTAGGAATGTTTATTCCTGGTATCTGTGGTTCTGCCAGGGACATTCGGATTTTCTGATACTGAAGATTAGATGAGTCTGACATAATTTTCACTTTAACTTTATCAAATATATGGAATACTGTGTCTTCTATTTTAAGTGAAGGTATCTCATCATCATAAATAAGCTGTGGCTTTGGTTTGTGCTTTTCTTCAAAAAAGACTGCTCCCCCATTGCATCTTGTGTCCATCCTGCCATGCGTCTGCCTCACAGTCGGTTAGCAGCTGAAATTCGCTCACCTGCTGTTCAGTGGGAATTGTGTTCTTGGCTGTTGCTTCCTCTTTATGCTTTCCTGGCATAGATGAAGGAGGATCCCTCTTCAGCCACCAGTTGCCCCCTCACTGCATTGAAAACACCAAAAGTATGTCTGAGCCCCTTCTAGGCAACTGGACCACTTTTGGTCTGGGCCAGTTGGGAAGTGTTTTGGTTGCAGGAGTTTAGAAAAAGAAAGTTGGTTAAGAAAGAGCAGAATTTTTTTGCTAAGAAACACTTAGAAAGAAAAAAGGGGTGAAGCCAAGTGGTGGCCCACCCCAGAGCTGTGTGTTAGCAGTATAAGAGGGGCTGAAGGTGTGGTAGTGGTCTGATGTCACAGACTGAGTTCAGGCTTCAGGGTCCTGGTGTGAGAGAGGTGCCCTGAGAACCAGGCACTTGGCTTAGGTGAGCCAGATAAAGGGGAAGGTATGCAAGGCTGATTGCATGTCAGCCTTCTGTGTTTATCCTGTCTCTGGGACAAGGAGACTGAACCGCGGGGAGCTAGAATCCCCAACTCTGAGTCACCACCTCAGGGTTGAACATTGTAGGACCCAAAGCAGAAAAAAAAATTAGCTTCTTAGGATGCATAATAGCTGCAGCAAAGCCACACAAAATAACAGGCCGTTTGTTGAAATTACAGGGAAAGAAAAACCAATGTGTTTTACGTGAGCAAGATATTGTGACTCGAAATTGACAGTACAGAGCCCATCGTTGCTCATTTTACTATAAAAATGCCATTTCAAGGCAGCTGCCCACCCCATTTTCTACCTGTGCCTCTGGCTGTGAATTCCTCTTTTATGGAGTTTTGAGAACTTAGTTCCTAGGGATCATCACAGTGTGTATAAATTAGCCGGATCTTGTTTTTCTTCCTTAAGTTCCTTTTGACTGTGTGTTCTTGGTGATATATGTGAGATGCTGTGCTGGCAACACAGTTGTAAGTGATAGAAGAGAGCTGTTAGACTATGTAATGTAAATTTAGATGAATACTGCCAACACATATGTAAGCATGTTAAGAAGACAGAAAAATTTCTGGCTGAAAGGCCCTTGCAACCAAGGCCCATCTCCTTGCCTCTTGGTAGAACGAGGGGCTTGCTGCGGCCTGGATTTGGGGGTCTCGGTTACACAGGCACCAAGAATCTTCAAGTGCCAGCTTGCTTCTGTCACTGAAGGAACACTCGAGAATGCTGAATGAAAAGCTGTAATTTCCCTTTGGTGATTTAATCTCTATCCTGCATACATATTTTGCTACCACTGGAGAATAAAAAAACACTACTGTGACAAAGCTGGATATTTAATAGAAATGGTTTCATTGGAGTTATTTGCAGAACCGCATGGTAGATAGTAACAATAAACATATGTTAGATTATTAAACAATTTGAAGGAACATATTTTAGATGCTTTCTTTTTATCATAAGTAGGTGTCTTGTTAAACAAGTGACTTTGTCAGTATGTCACTTATTTGTGCTAGGGCATATAGGTAGATGATTGGTATTGAAAAGCAGTCACTGTAGGTGGGATCTATTTTAAAATGTCTTAAAATTAGATTATCTTCCTACCCTTGAATTAAAAATCATTTCCAAATGCTGTTAAAAATCTTAGAGTTTTACTTTCAGAAATGGTGTATTATTCGGAAAGACTTTTAGAGCTATTTGAGAAACACTAGGTACTTTTTGATGGTCTTCATAATGCTGAGATTGAATAGTTTTAGAGATTGAAAATGTAGAAAAGTACAGTTGGTGGAGTGTTAATTTTTGCTTTCCTTCCACAAAAGTCACAGGGACACATACTTTTTGGAAGCCTGAGTCCTGTTTTGTTTTGTTTTTTTTAATTAGAAAGGAACTCCAGTCTGAATCACCTGCAGGATCACGCTGGTCTGTTTTGAGGTTTGACAGGCTTGTGGTACAAGGCTCCAGGTCTGATGTAGGCCCATGAATTATCCTTATTGCGAATTGTCAGGCACATATATATAGCACCTGGTTTTATATTAAAGGCCGTTTTAGGAAGGTTTTTCAGTTTATTAGGGCCTTTGCTTTATAAATAGGCATTTTAATTTTAATTTATTGAGGAGCACAAAGTGTTAAGCAAGTGTAATTAGGCACCCTAATCAGAATTTATGAAGATTATTGCTCAAATTTTTTGTGTATTAAACGGTACTTAATACATAAATTATGGTTATCTTGGATTTATTGTTAAGATAATTAAGATATCAAGGATATCAGGATTCTAGTATAAACTCTTTGTACTATTTGGCTCTGTATTATGAACAGACATCAATAGGAGAACTTCATTTATCACCATCATAAACTGAGAAAAGCTACCATTCTTAAAAACCTTTGCTTTTACTGTTTTGTGCAAATTTATAGTCTATTAAGATAATTATGTTCTCATATTATTTAGCTCTTTCCTCCTAACTTCATCAAAAAAAAAAAAAGAAGGAAAAGAGAAAAATATGCCTGAGGTCTGTTGGGAGGGAAAGAAAAGGGAAAGGGGCAGAAGACCTCATAGTTTATTTTAGCACCAGAACCTAAGCAGGTATGTTAACTTCCAGACAGGAAATAGGTGGATAGGAGTAACAAGGCTGCCTGGCATTAAAGGACAGAATATTTGTGCTGTTCTTTTTGAGGGATTGTGCAAGAACTGCTAACTGTATAAATTCTTTGATATTGCCAAGGTCAGGCAAAACTGTGTACATCTGCAAGTAAGTGCTGGTCATCAAAGCTACAGCAGCTTGGATGGCCGGGCCGGGGAAATGGAGAGGCAGCCTTAGAAACTGCTTAGGCAGCCCAGTTCGTTGTCTCTCCCCTTCCCTCTATCTGTGTTTTTCCTTTTTAATGTCCTCACTTTTGTAAAGATGTGTTCTCCCTGGCTGCACTGACGTTCCTGGCAGTATTCCTAAGATGAACACCAAATGCTAAGGGGAGGACTGCCAGTTTGCTTTATTGTGATGATTCCAGAGCATGGCAACTTTCATTCAGAGTACACCATCATCCGAGCTCTTGTAAGCTCTGCCGTGTGGCTGGTACTTGCAAACTTTTTCCACCGATAATTTTTATGGGTCACTCTGTTGTACCAACCAGTGTCCTTTGTGCATAAAGTTGAGCCTTAGGAATCAATAACTCCTTTGGAAATTTCATGTGCCATTTTCTTTGTGGTTCACGGGAAAGAACTGCCACGGAGTGGAGATTTTGCTCACCAACATATGTTGTGGTTGTAACTAAATAATCCTGCAGCTTCTAAGGGTTTCCAGAATACAAATCAGGATGACAAAACGGAATGAACCAAATATTCAGCAGAAGGTCGCATGACACTTTCAAGACATGGTATTCTGAGCACATTCTATCGTCCTCCAGTGCCATGTTCTTGGTGCTGCTTTTCTGGACCTTGTATCAGTTCAGATTGGCTTTAAATACAAATGATTAGTCACAGAGACACACAGTCTATTTTTTAGTTTTGTTTTGCAAAGACAGATTAAACTGTGATAATGATTACAGACTCCAGGCCTGCATAGACTGATATATTTAAGGTTGGATAAATCTTTCAGCCCTTAAATATTGGCTTGCTGCCTTGTTATGCTGTATTCGTCACAAACACAACTATAAATAATAATGAGGTAGATTTATTGCTACTGTGATTTCCTGTAAATGTCTAAC